ACCGCACTGTTTAATGGCTCTCAATGGAAAAGAGTGGAGCAAAAAACACATCCGAGACTGTTTTCAATCTAATCTGAGTCATGTTTTCCTTTTTCCATTTACTCTCTTTATGATATGAGTGCTAGATCTTTTCTAAGACGTAAAAATTGTACTCAAGTAAGAAAAACGTTGATATAAAGCAGGAGTCTTCAACGTTTTTCAGGCCAGGGACTCCCTTCTATATGTGTATGAATGAATGAATGAATCTTTATGGAAATGGAATGTTTATTCAGACAGTAATACATAGAACATGCATAGAGAACATAAATACATAGATATAACGCATAAAGTAAATATTTCTTTTCCGTAATAAGTGAAAATAAATGTCACGCAGATTTTACTTGTGTCCGAAAAAGGAGTGGGAGGAAGTAAATACTTATTTAACCCCACCCCTTTATTCTACTGTCCCAAATTAACTAACATATAGACTTCTTATTTCCTGTACAATATAAGCTATAATTCACAGTACCTGCATTTCCGTACAAATCTAACAACAGCAACAACAAATACATGTATATTATGTATTATGTACACATATATATGGCATACAATTGTGTTTTATATTGAATTGGGCCTAGTGTCGTGTATAAACAGCTACTCTGTTATTGCACATTCAATACTGGGGGGGTATTCCATCAAAGTCACTTAACAAGTCCAGGCTTATCCTGAAATCCTGAGCTGAAACTTGCTCCATCTCCAGTTTAAGTATCAAGTCGTTCCATGACACAAATAAGCCTGAGTTAGAGGTTTGCGCGGGATAGAATATTCTGAGAAGGGGGGTATGAGAGGAGGCGCAGTGGGAGGTCCAGCGGCATGGTTAAGTCCTGGCTAAATCCTGTTTTAGTCCTGTTTTAGCTCGCAACCCGCGCGACGTATGTGACGGGGGGTTTGTGTGTGGCGTACGGGACGGGGGAAGATCTGTGCGGTGTAGGGGAGGGGGGGACGGTCCATGCGGCGTAGCTAGTGGGAAGGAGGATGGTCCAGGCAACGTACGGGACGGTCTACTAATTTAAATGCTTTTATTAATGCCAAATAAAATACCTAGCACAAATTATGCATGATATGCTTACATTCATCATTTGTATATTTTACTTTACACTCATATTTAGTTTGCAGGACTGCAGTTTATCATCACACCCTCCCACTCCCACATTGTGTAGTCCCACTCCCGCCTGTGACCGCAATGAGTTTTCAAAATGTGTCCCGCGTTGGGTCCCGCAAGTGCAGGGCCCTAACCTAAGTCTGATCAAAGCAAATTCAGGCCTAAAGTTTAAGCTGCAATTTGTGCGCGCTCCTAGTGACTCTGAGAAGGTCAGATTAATGGAGCAACATCACGGAAAATGTGCTCAAAGTGTGACGTTTTTAATGATCTCGTAAACGGACGGAGAGGAGCCACAGTGTGCACAGATAACAGTGTGATTTTGAACAGACAGAACTCACTGAAAACTAGTTCATCCTAATCCTTCAAATACGCAGAAATATATATTAAAAACAACAACAAAAACTGTACTTTAAAGTAATATTACTCAAGTACGTCTGGTCACCCTAATTGTATGGAATAATTCATATTTGATCAATTACCATTGTAAACGTGTTATTTTGAAGTTTGTGCTCTGATAAATGGATAATGGTTTTAGATTTTAGAGGCATCTAACTGTACAACATTAAGGCTTGCACTCTTGTATCGACAAAAATGTTTGAGAGTAGCCCTTCCGCATTTTCATTTTGTACAGGTCGCTCACCAGATGCAAAAGGTTGGAGATCCCTGGTCCAAAGGAATCCACACAGAGAGAAACATGCAAACTCCACAAAGAAAGGAGTGGGCAACCTGGGGATCAGACCCAGGATTTTCTTGCTGTGAGGAGTTCTAGTCCCTGGTGGCACGATAAGGGACTGGCATGTTACCTATTGTGGCTTTAGTACCCTTACAGTGTCATATACCGTATTTTCCGCACCATAAGCCTCCAACCCCATCAAAAAGCGACCGCGCGCCCCGCAATCCAGAGCGCCCTATGCACGAATCCACTCGGGTGTCCCAGCGCGACTTCAGTAAACTACAAACCCGCACCACCCACACCCACCACCCACGCAAACACACACAGAGGAGAGAGCGACCGAGCAGCCAAAAACGCCCGCAGTCACACTCATCACTCCACGCCGATGTGGAACGAACTGAAAAAGCGAATGTAATGTGCCACTTCTAGACACAACTGAACAACTGAGTCACTGAGAACACGTCAACAATCCAGCGGTCCCAGACAGCACCCTCCCTACACGCCACAACTGAACAAAGCCCAGAGTCACCGTGAACGCGACAAACAAAATCCCACTGACCCATCAAACTGTTGTGTTTCGTTTAAAGTCCAGTCCAGTTTATTTGTGAAAAAAGTTCTGAAACAGACCATTCAATGACTATTCTATAATCCAGAGTGCCTTATAGTGCAGAAAATATGCTATATTACTCAAGTATAAGCAAACATTTGATGTCTGATAACCTCAAAGACGAACGTTTTTTATGTAGTTACTTGAATAATTTTAACTACTCAGATCTGGTTGCAATATCAATTTCGCAGATGTTTTGATGTCAGATGCCCTACCAACTACTGAACGTTATTGTGAATATATTCAGATTGGCAGGTACACTCTTTTATATCTCTTCATAAAAACAGTATTTTTTAGTCTTGAATTAAATGAAACCTAAGGCTACCACAAACACCCTGACAACATATTGAACCATTTTGAGATTACAAAATAATGAATAGCCAGCTAAACAAATTCTCATTATTTACACACATGAAGTAACCAATGGAGAATGGGCAGTGACAGAAGAGGTTACTATCGAGGTGATGATAAATTAGCAGTATTTTTTCACGGCAATTTACTCAAAACAAAATCTATCTTTTATCTTTAAGTCCTCAAAATGAATGAAACCCTCAAATAGCATTTTATATCGAAACAAACTATTGACAAACATCTTTTCAGACAAGCGGTGAACCATGGCTGCCCTTACCTCCTCTTACTATAACATTAAAGCTGCACTATGTAACTTTTCAGGTGGAGGTTGCGCTTTAACTTGTCTCCATGGAGATTGCGTAGCTTTGCTTGGTTTGTTCCCATAGGCCGTGTAAAGAAGTGGACTAAGGGAGTGTGACTTTCCCCATAGTGTCCGCTCCAGTCAAATGAAGCTCATGAGGCTAGCAGTTATAGTGTGAATTTGGGCCCCAGTTCCATATTAGGAATAGGAATTAATTTACGGACCAAGTAGCTAAATAAAAACTCCAGGATCATATAAAGCTAAGGCTAATACGAACATTTTAAGACCAAAATGACGAGGCTCACTGCAACAGTTACAGAGAGAGGAATGACAATTTCTCAATGTAAAGTCAATTGGAGCCAGAGTGGATGGAACTGTAAGCTCCCCCATGCTCACTTCCTATGTGCAGGGCTCCTACAGTCATGGAAATCCTGGAAAAGTCATGGAAATTGAAAATGTCATTTTCCAAGCCTGGAAAAGTCTTGGAATATTGTAAATTCAATGAAAGTTTTGGAAAAGTCACGAAATTTCAGTATCTCTTTCACACAACTACAGCGTTCTGTTAAGTTATCATTAGGCTTTTATGATTATTTCCGAACGTATGCGCATTTTTCTTTAAAAGAGATGACAAAAAATGCACTGACAGTATTTTGAATATTAAAAAACTATAATCCCAGACCATAAGGTGAGTGGAAAGGGTTAACATTTCATATGTAGCCCTAAAAGTATGATCATTTGCCGTAAAGTCATGGAAAATTCACTTTAGGTCATGAAAAAGTCATGCAGTGTATGTATGGATTCATTACCCTCTCACCTCTCCATAGAGAGGTTGGTTGGTGCTCGTCTCCATGGAGATAAACAGACAGACATATAAACCAGAAAAGAGGCATATTGCACCTTTACTAGATATTTTCGAATGTATTTAAGAAAATTATCTTAAGTACACATATATTGTATAAGCAGCTTTCTTGAGGTCAAAATAAGTCCATTGTGAGCTGTCTGCATCTTTATTGTCAGATAATCAGTAAGTGTGCGGTTAAGTGTGGAAAAGTTTTGAAATTTTGTCAGTGAAAAAGAGTGGGACCCTTGTATTTGGAATGCGGCAGCTATCAGGCGATATCCATTTATATATACAGTGTATGGTTGTTCCACAGTGTTGCATTAAAAGTATTTATCTCCATGGATACAAACATCACACCAGTCCAAGTAACAGGCCTGATCACAGCGACAATTTTAAATTCTTTTTTGAGCAGTAGGGGTGTGCAAAAATAACGAAATATCGACATATCGTATCGTTTAAAGTGATGATACAGTATTGATATCGTGAGCTGCTGTATCGATATATCGCCAAGAGTATTTTTTGGTATATTTTACTTAATTATTTTGTTGCCATGCTACAGTTTTGTTGCTTGTTTAGTGAAAGGAAACTCGTTTATTCGACACATTTGACATTTTCACTGTTTTGATGATTAAAATGTGTGTTTTTCTTATTAACTTTACACAAGACATGGACCATGGAGCATCACAGCCATGAGTCAACATCAGATCGATTTGAAATATATCGTATCGAATCAAAAGTGCACTGTTATCGAGGTATGTATCATATCTGCAACTTCTTAATGATACCCAGACTTATTGAGCAGTAAAACGCATGTAATCAACTAAATACAAGGTGGATAGATCGGTTAAGGTTTAAAGCCATATTGTGGAACATTCCAAGCAAAGCAGCATCATCTCCATGGACCAAAGCACGTGGCTGAAAAGTTACGTGATGCACCTTAAGCAATGATTCATTAATATGTGATCATTAATTGACAATAAAACCAAAAGAGCAAAGTTCTAGAGCAGATTATGTGTAGCTCTTTTTCTTCGGTCAAAGTAAGTCCAACATTGCATCAACAAATTAAGTAATAAGATTCTTACTTACCACTGCTGCACCGGAGCGTGTCAAAACACCTGAAAGAGAAGAAAAAGAATACTCAAGAGCTGTACTTGATTTTTATTTTCTTAAAAATGTGAAAAACAGAACTGGTTCATTTTAAAGATTTGCAGTGGTCCAAAGTTATTCCTCACTTGCTTTATGTAGTCATAGTATCATAATTAACCTCACCGCAATGAGTTTATGAGCACTTTCCACTTTTGTGAGTCAGCAACTAGCATGCTAACAGGGCACCAGCATTACTTGATGGTTCACAGATGATAAAATGCTTTATATTATGCAGAGAGTGTACAAAGGTCTCATTTAGACTCTCAAACCTGCTTCTAAAATATAGGTACAGCTCCTTAAACAATGTATGTATGGATTCACTACAGTCGTCCCTTGCTCTATCGCCGTTCACTTTTTGCGGTCTCACTGTTTCGCAGATTTTTAGTGCAATATTTTTTTTACAGCTTATGAACGTGCATTGTGATTGGCTGTGGACCATTGTCAATCAGTCTCTTCCCTGCCGTGACTCCTGTACATTACAGTATGCGTTCAGCTGCCAAATTTAAAGAAATGTTTGATCTCTAGCGGTGTGATTCTGAAGTGCTGTATGTTTGCAAGTTTTCTCCCTGACAAAACCTACAATGTCAACGAAACGTTCTGCAAACAAAGGCTCCTACAGTCACACCCAAAAGGCAGAGGAAGACAAAAAGTTGGACTTCTGGACTCGCTGAAGGTAGGTAGAAGTTACGCAGCTGTACTAGAGTCCTGCACCGGGCAAATAGTTGTTGAAACGGGCAGGTTTTAATGTTCTGGAATTTTATGGGCTGGAATGTAGGTGGGTAGCGATTACAGACGGGCGGGTCAGGACTAGACCAGATCTAAACCAAATCTGAACCACAGCTGAACCTGGACTGAACCAGGACTAAAAATGGACTAAACCAGAAGTAAACCAGGACTGAATCAGGACTAAACCAGGACTAAACCTGGACTAAACCAGAACTAAACCAGAACTGAACCAGGACTAAACCAGGATTAAACCAGAACTAAACCAGAACTAAACCAGAACTGAACCAGCACTGAACCGAGGATTAAGCCAGGACTAAACAAGGTCTAAACCAGGTTTAAACCAGAACTAAACTAGGACTAAAACAGAGCTGAACGAAAACTAAACCAAGTCTAAACCAGGACTGAACCAGGTCTAAACCAGAAGTAAACCAAGACTAAACCAGGTCTAAACCAGGACTAATCTTGGACTAGGACTAGAATCTAGGACCGCCCTTGAGAGAACCCCGTGCTTGTGGAACAGGATGTCTGCAACAAGCGATCGGGCGTCAGCTGCGATTAGCCCGGTGGAGCGTGGTCCTTGCGCTCGCGGTTACCCGACGGTCTACGTGGGCGTGTCTCCGGCATTTCACCGCTGCTGATATCGCGGTGATTTTAGTAAATTTGTATGAAGAAGAACCCACCACTTCAATCCAGGTTAAAAAAGCACAGTGACACACATAACTGACATTTGAGTAAAATATTATAATTTTTTTTCCCTGTAACGCCACATTACTGCATTACAATAAAAGCAATGCATTACAGTAATTTGTTACTTTTATAACGTGTTACTCCCAACACTGGGAATAACTGTTTCAAGTGAACCAATTTTGTTTTTATTTTTTATTTATTTATATATCCTAGTGCGCTGTATATTATGGCGTCTATTCTTATGTAAAAACACAAAAAAAAAGCGAGAATTCTCTTCCTCCCTGTGAGTGAAGTGAATAATGGAGGGATATCATTTATGGATGTGTGTGGGCTTCCCCCGTGAGGCCGCGCACTTCTCCGTCAGAGCTAATGCTTTTGTCACACACACAAGCACTCATACGGCTCTTTATTTATTGATCAAACTGAGCGAAAGTGGCCGAGAATAGCCGACAATGTGCTATGGAGGATTCTATTGTTCTGCTTGCTTTTGGTTACAGGCTTTCAGGGAAACTATACAGCCCCTGTTATGGTACACTGACACACAACAAAATGACTTTATTTATTATTTAGACGGAGAGAAGGAAGTAGAAAGGGTGGGCAGCTTGGCAGTGCTCTCACAAAAAAAGAAATGTATATAGGCTATAGAGTCTGGGATATTGTTGTCATATATCAAGGAATTTCCTGTTAAACCAAGTAGAGATTTTGAGATGCTAAAAGCAAAACTTCATTGGACTTTTAGTTGTTGAGTCGAATAATCAGTTGATGGAGTCTAAATTGGTAAAAATGTGTCTTCGTTAACTATAATCGTTCATTTAGATTATGCATCAATCCAGCTTCTTCTGATCTGATACCAATGGTAATACTTTGGGTTTAAGTATTTGCCGATACCCGATATCAACCAGTACTAGGGTAGGGACTAAAAATATTACATATTTCTGTTAAACTCAAACAGCGTATGGTAATAAAAATCATAAAAATGTGTTATATAACTTTTTTTAATCATTTAAAATAACTACTGAACAACTTTGAATAAATAAATAAATTAAATAATAATATCAATAATAATATAATTATAAAAAAAAAATAAATATTACAGGGTTTTGGACCAGCATTATCCAATAAATCATTGTTTCCCAAAGACTGGGTCGTGAGATTTTTTTGGGGTCACCTTGTCACGATCTGTATGTAGGTTGAAATGTTAAGACATGTTTTGCATATTTACTAATCTTTTTGTAATTATTTTAGTGACAATTTTGTTCCAATATTGCTGGTTCAGTTGAATGTTGAAAAGGAAAATAAACGGGCAACATTTAATGTCCAAATAGGTGACTTATGGATCCTTTTATTGCTGGTTCAATTAATGTTTTTCATTGTTTAAAACTTGAGTAATACTAATTGTTCAGAGACACGATCACTCAGTCAACAATAAAATATCTTCATTAATGTTCAATAATGATCAAATCCACCTTTATTTTATGATTTATGAATAATGTCAATTGACTTGGGTCACGAAGGTTTGTGACTTTTAAAATATGGGTCTCCAAAAAAAAAAGCTTGGGGAAACACTCCTGTAAATCATCAAATTACACAAATTTATAGACCAAAATTGGATATCGAGTGAACCGATATCCGAACCATCATCAAAATGTTCAATAACAGCACCGATATCTGATACCAGTATTGTATCGGTGAATTCTTAATTTAGATTATAAGACTTTATATGTGACAACAGCAAAAAGGAGAAGTTAGGTCAAATGAAGATTTGGTGTTTTTTTTTATTTATTTTTATATGGAAAATGGCAGCGATTCACAAATTGAATCTGTTTTTATATAAATACATTGTACATACATCCCTAGTTCTGTATAAATTGGTGTTTTTGCTTGGACTTTCTCACAGTTGTAGTCATATCACATCGAAGAGAGACATTATAGTTATAGTTATTATAGATACATTATAATAAAGATCTTTTGCCACACCCCCTTTTAGTGAACCAAATCGATCTGCAGAACACGTCTTGAGTCGATAAAGAATCTCATTAGTCAACTACAGCTCTACTGACACTTTGCACATCCCGCTGGAGGTGTTTTACATGTACGTGTACGGCGTAATGTGTAGAAGTTACCATGGTGACACAATGCACACATTAGGAAACACGGCCAAAAACGTTTTAAGCTGTTGTTTAAACCAAATGGATTTAAACAACAGGAGCCTGTGATCAATAGAAGTGTTGATTATGATCCGTCTGTAATCTGATGTCTTGTAATCTGATGTCTGCCGGACTTGTTTAACAGCACAAATCAGATCATCTGTTGTACTTGTTTCTTGTCAAATTGTGTTAAATTAAAACTCGAATTAAAGTCCAATAAGAGGAACAGAGATTCAGACCCCCCCAGGAAATGCAAAGTAACAATATGATAGATATATTTACCAGCAGCTTACAGGCTCATTCTTTTCTTTACTTTTTTTCTTTACATTGGTTTTACTTCCATATCTCTAAGGATGTTTTGTACATCTGGCCAATAAAGTAACCCAATCTATAAAGAAAATCAACATTTGAAACCAATCTCTGGTGGACCAAACAGAAAGGCAAACACAAGGTATAAAAATAAGTTTAAATTTAAAAAAGTTTTTAAAAAAAAAGTAATTTAACAAAGGCTCAAATTAGGTAAATCTTTAACAAAAAGCCAGGTCCAACTGGGGTAACTTAAATCAAACAGAAGAAAACAAACCCAACCAAAGAACCACAAAGAACAGGGGTGTTTTTATATATGAGGGCCAACTAAAACTGAACACAAGAGGGAGGAACTACACTAAATAATTACTAATATACACTAAATAAAACTACTAACTTAATCAAAGTAACAAGAAGGCAAATAAGTTTAATACAGAAAATAACTTTCACTTCGTAAAAACCGTCTGACCTCGCAGCATTAGGATTCGTTCGCTCGACGGTAGGTGGAACAAATCACTGGCATTTGGTTGTGACGTATGTAATGCACCAAATCCCGTAGGAAGAAGGGCAGTAACGTCTTTCTTTGATAAAATTCACCAAACATTCTCTTTGTTCCCGCTTTAAATCCTCGATCTTGAGAATTGTTGCCAACACAGAATGTCTGTCTTCATCAACATCCATCTCGACGCTTTGTTTACTGTTGTGCTGCACCACAAAAAGGGACCCTGACATGGCGTTTGAGTTTGATGTCATGGCTTCACAGCTCTTCGCTGATTGGCCGGTGAACAGTCTACAACTTCCGGGGCTCTTGCAAACCGTCCTGTGTATTTTGATTCCTGACCTAGGGATGGGCATTCGATGAAATTTTCTTAATCGATCGTCGGAAGAATTAACGATCGATTATCGATTAATCATTAACGTTTTTATATTAAAATGATCATCATTATTATTACTATCTGCACTAATCTGCATAAATAAATTCAACTTTACGACATATAAACCGTAACGACTCTAGAGCCACATCAATCCGTTTGACATTATAATGTGTTTAATTCAGTTTTGCGCAACTCTCACAGAAACGAAACTTAAAACCGCGTCGCTAATTTGCAT